CACGCTGCTCAGCTGAGTTGGGTGTCACGATGGTGATGAGCCCTCAGCAGGCCCGCTGCCTCTGTGAGCATGGTCCACGGTCCTCGGGCCCGGTCCTGCTCCTCCTGGACCTCGCCCTCCCGTCCAAGTCTGAAGTTGCTAGACAGCATGCCCATTGTTGCCCTGACCAATTCTCCCCAAATTCTCCTTCTTAACTTTTGGGCACAGGATCATCCAGCTCAAGGAGATGAACTGTAATTTCAGTATTTCTACATTACAGATTTTTAGTCTCTCTCTCTCTGAATTGTCCAACAAAACTTCTCCTGTATAATTCTTATTGCCCCATTGTCCTGTTATAGCGCTATGCCAAAATAAACCACCACTTTCCTGTATGGAAAATTCCATGTGATGGCACTCTTCTTTAAGATTTTCTGTGCAGCCTAAACAATCGTGTTTTACCCGCACTTGAACAGACAGTATGGCTTTGTCAGTTTCCCCAGAGAGGCAGAGCGACCTTGGTCACAGCTTAGGTTTCATTGGCAGTGTCTTTAGTAATTAGAAAAAAAAAAAAACCCAGATATTCTCAAGAACTCATGGATGAAATTCAGAGAAAACCTTTCTGGAAAACCTTTCCTGGGATACAATTAAGATACTTAGCAGTTCGATCCTTTTAAGACTTGCTTAGGAGCTGTGTGAAGTGGGCCTGGAACATCTAATCTGGGGGGAAATTTGTCCCACTTCTTTTCTTCCCTTTTTATTGAATTTATTGGGGTGACCCTGGTTAACAGAATCACCCAGGTTTCAGGCGCACAGCTGTACGACACTCATCTGTACGCTGTGTTGGGCGCCACACTTCTGATGCAATGCTCTCTAGAGCACTCGAACCAGTGACTCGTGACTTTCAAGGTTTTTCCTTCCAGCTCACGAGAATGTGCACCATCTCTGGCCCTGTGTCAGGCCAAGGATTGTCACTTCTGCCTTTTACGGGGTTGTGGGGAGGGGCGGGGCATCTTTCTCCGTCCTTGGGTGCTTTCTTCAGATGCTGGGATCAGTACTCAGGCAGAGCTTCTGCAGATCTCGGGGGCTCTCTGCACCCCTTCCTCCTCCCTGACCCTCTGCCCTGCGGGTTCTAGCCGCCGCAGCACCCTTGGTCCCCACTCCATCTCCTCCAGTCACGGCAGTTACCAGACTCCCCCTGGCTCTCCCTCCCAGAGCTGCACCTCGGAAGCTCTCTTCACGCTATAAACCGAGACAATCCGAGAGATCACCTCGTTTGTTTCCCTGCGCAAAGGCCGCAGTGTTCTGCCCTGCCTGACAGCCTATGTCTAAAACCACTGTTTCATTTATTTCCAGGGTTGTTTCATTGTTTCAGGCAGGAGGGTCAGCCCAGTCCCTGGTACTCCATCCAGGCTGGATACCTAAGACCTCCTTCCTTGGTTTCTCATCTCCTCCTTCTCTAGCCTTCCATTACTTTTCAAAATAATGCAATATAAGCAAATCTATTTTCTATATTTGTTTCCTTGGTCTTCTAGACACATTGTAGAACACTGTACATACTTTTCTCTACCTGCTTTACCACCTCGATAATAAACCCTGGAGATTACTTCATAATAGCTTATAGAAATACTCCTTATTCCTTTTTAGAGATGAATGTGACTCCATTATGTGAAGGAACTACAGTTTCTTCACCAGTATCTTACTGAAGGACATTCTGATGGCGTCTAGTGGCTTTTGCTTGTTTATTTAGCTGGTATGCATTTTGTTTTTACAAACAGCAGTGCTATGAATAACGCTACCAGCTCTTGCTAAATCTCCCTGAGCACGGTGGGAAGGTGCCTGTTCTGACACAGTCTCACTATCAGAGAACGCTGCCAAATTTTGAATTTTCGGCAGTCTGACAGGTGCGCAGTGGTATCTCCTATTTTCATTTCATGCTGAAGAAAGATTTGCATTTTATTTTTTCATCAGAGTTTTGGCCCTTTTTTCTAATCTAATTGTATAAGTGCTTTATATATTAAGGCCATTAACTCTTTGTCTTGGTATACATTGCAAGTTTTCTAAAAATTTAGCCATTTGTATTTTTTACTTTGTTTTAGTGGGTTTTTTACTATGTGTTTTTTTATTATAAATGATTGTCTTTTCACCTTCAGAATTTGATAGTGAATCGCATTGCAGTTGAAAAATGGAATTGAAAACTGTTAAATTATGAGTCCTCTTTGATGATGAGGTCTTCGTACCCCTGCTGCCTGCTTTGTAAGTGGCCCTGTGTCTCCATCAGTGGTGTGTTATTTTCTTTACTCTCCCACACACGCCATCCAGACAAGCCATCCATGCCATCGGAAGCCACACTACACCCCGTAACCGTGTCCCCACTCTCTGAGTGAGTGCTCCTTCTTCTCTGCCCCGTCCGTCCAGGTGACCTGCAGTCAGGAAGGAGTGAGTCCACGCCTCGTGTTTTCAGTACATTCCACACTCACTCAGTGAATGTCCACTCAGGGCAACTGCTAGGCACCATATTTATAAATACGAATAAGACAGTCTCTGGCTTCATGGGGTATACAGAAGGATTTTAAAAAGAGATACAAACCCATTAATGATAAAGGCTGATATCCTAGCCCACAGGCATCTGCTGGAGCAACAAGAAGGTGAGGGTTCATTTTGAATGTGGTAGATGTCAGGACAGATACGAGTCACAGATGAGCCGGTGTCTGGACAGGGCATTTAAGAATGAGCAGGAGGCCCTGGCTGGCGTAGCTCAGTGAATTGAGCGCAGGCTGTGAACCAGGCATCACAGGTTCGATTCCCAGTCAGGGCACATGCTTAGGTTGCAGGCCACAGCCCCCAGCAACTGCACATTGATGTTTCTCTCTCTCTCTTTCTCCCTCCCTTCCCTCTCTAAAAATAAATAAAATCTTAAAAAAAAAAGAATGAGCAGGAGTCTGCCGAGCTGACACGGTGGGGGGAGCATATTCACACAATGAAACAGCATGCGAAATGATACGGGATTGTCATTCCTCATACCTTCCAGGAAAGAAGGACATAATTGCGTTTCCTAAAGGCTGTGTAATTTGAGTCTCTCTGACCCCCAATTACCTCATGTCTAAGGAATTAAGAAAAACTATTTCTCCCTCATGGAGTCCTTCTGAAGTGTAAACAAAATAACAATTATAGAAAAAAATTTCTGACATGCAGTCAGCAGGCACTCAAAAATAGTGACTACTAGTATCATCTCATTGCATAAAGAAGTGTGTAGACTTAAATACGTAATTGTTATTTCATTTATTAATTACACAATGCTGTAAATCAGCGATTTTCCACCAGTGTGCCCCAGGAATTTTTAACACTTGCAATACCTGACTATTTAGTCAGAGCACTGACCTGTTTTCCCTTAGACTGTCGAGTAAAAAAGATGACAACAGCCAACACAACAATAGCCATCCGATGTGAATGAGTCAAAATTATACCTATCTTATTTTGTTAGATCAGCAAAATACGTGTTTTTTGGTGTGCTGCAAAATTGTAGTAGTTAGTTTATGTGTGCCGTGAAATGACAAAGGTTGGAAGTTGCTGCTCTGCGTCATTGCCTGTGCGCGGGTCTTATTTATCTTTGGTGCCTGGGGAAGAGAGATTGAAGCCTAGTCCCTTCTGCCTCAGACACACCTTGCAGAGAGACAAAATGTAAGAAAATATATGTCAATGACACTTCAATTACACACATTCCATTTGGTATGTCCACCGACCAAAATAAACTAAAAAGACTCCGTTGTAATGCCCTAATCTCTAAAGATCATGTCAATAGTAACTTAATAATTTTAAAAAGGACCCATCATGTTGATGTGTTTTTGCTGCTTGAAAGCAGTGATCCGGAGTGGCTGTATCGGTCCACATTCCCACCAGCAGCAAGTGTGGGTGTCCCTTCCTCCAGAGCCTCCTGAAAACTTGTTGTTTTAGAGGACCGGATAACAAAGATGTGGTGCATGTGCAACGGAATACTACTCAGCCGTAAAAAAGATGAAAGATGAAATGCCGCCATTTGTGACAACATGGATGGACCTAGAGAATACTATGCCAAGCGAAATAAGTCAGACAAAGCTAGTAACCATAGGATTTAACTCATATGTGGCATATATAACTGAAACACAGACAGAAGTAGGGTGGTTACGAGAGGGAGGAGGGCAAGGGAATCCGTGAGGAGGCAGGTAGGGGGGTGGTAGAGAGGGCCAAACATCTGGTGATGGAGGATGATCTGACTTTGGGGGGCCGGCAGACAGTGCAATATACAGCTCATGTATCACAGAAATGTACACTTGAAACCTAATATGATCCTATTAACCTATGTAAGCCCAATACATTTAATAAAAAAGAAAATAAAAGTAATGAATCACTGCACTAAAACTGTTTCCAGTTAAAGAGACCCAATAAGAAACAACAGATGGGAACTTCGTTAGGATCTGTTGCAGTTCACCGAGAACCCAGGAAAACAAAGGGAATCACGGTGTCCTCACCGCACACCCGCAGCTGCCCTCCCGCTTCCGAGACGGGCCTTCCGCCCTACTTTCCTACCAGCATTTGGTATGACTTGCTGTTTGACAGCAGAGGAGATTTTATCACTATAAAATCCATTCTCAACGTAGTATTCTAGAGTTAAAGAGAAAAATGAAAAAGTAACACTTGTGAAATCCAGTGAAACAGTGTCAGGTGATGGGCCTGCTTGAGAAGACACATCAGACAAAGAAATGCAGGAGCTGATTCACCGGGCTTTAAGCTAACTGGATGGCTCATAATACAAGAGGAAAAGGAAATAATGCCGTTCCTATAAATAGGGATATTTATCAGACAAACACAATTATCTAATTTACTAAAACTAACTGACTTGCAATTAGGATAAACAACGACAGAAATCCTGCACATGGTCATAGCAGCCCTGAGCAGGGTATAAAAGCAGCGGAGGGCAAGGAGAGATCACACTTGAGAACCTCACTCTCCTGGAAACCCACCCAGAACCTCTTCTCTCTGACACCATGGTCAGCTCCTGTTGTGGATCCGTCTGCTCCGGCCAGGGCTGTGGCCTAGGCTGCTGCCGCCCCAGCTGCTGCGTGTCCAGCTGCTGCCGCCCCACCTGCTGCATTTCTAGCTGCTGCCGCCCCTCTTGCTGTGGCTCCAGCTGCTGTGGCTCCAGCTGCTGCAGGCCCTCCTGCTGCATTTCTAGCTGCTGCCGCCCCTCTTGCTGTGGCTCCAGCTGCTGTGGCTCCAGCTGCTGCCGCCCCTCCTGCTGCATTTCTAGCTGCTGCCGCCCCTCTTGCTGTGGCTCCAGCTGCTGTGGTTCCAGCTGCTGCCGCCCCTGCTGCTGCCCCTCCTGCTGCCTCCGCCCACCCTGTGGCCAGGTGTGCTGCCACACCAACTGCTACCGCCCCACCTGTGTCATCTCCACCTGCCCCCGCCCCATGTGCTGCGCCGTCCCTGACTGCTGCTGAGTCTCTGCTTTGAACATACCACTTGCTCCTCTCCTCCCTCCGCATAGACGCACACCCTCCTTCCCAAAACATGTAACTGATCTCTTGGCTCCCATAGCAACCACCAGTCCTACTAACTCTCTGTCCCCATTCTAACTTCTGTCCAAACTCTCTTCCTTCAGAATGAGTTCATTCAGAATCCCCTAATAAATTAAGTTCCCCCAACATCCCTTCAGGACATCCATTCTTTATGCTTAAGGAATTTAATCGTCTCCATCACTTGCGGGGCCGTGGAGTTTAACTCCTTTGGCATCGAAATCCAATCAAGTCTTTTTCTTGTGCTCCTTTGGAAAGATTTTCGTATAGCTTGTTATTTCTATGTACCAAAATAAATCTCTTTGTACTAATGCTGAAAATTGAATGTGATTGTGTTTTTGTGGGGTTTTTTTATTTTAAAAAAATTTTATAGCCCTGGCTGGCGTAGCTCAGTGGATTGAGCGCGGGCTGGGAACCAAAGTGTCCCAGGTTCGATTCCCAGCCAGGGTACATTCCTGGGTTGTAGGCCATAACCCCCAGCAACTGCACATTGATCTCTCTCTCTCTCTCTCTCTCTCTCTCTCTTTCTCTCTCCCACTCCCTCCCTTCCCTCCCTAAAAATAAATAAATAAAAATAAAAAAAATTGTTTACAATCCAATCAAACATATAGTTATCTAAAGCTATTCCATTTAAAAAAAATTTTATTTTATTTTATTTTTTATTTTATTTTAATTTTATTTTAATCATTTTTCAAGTTAGTTTTTGTTTTTAAAGGCGGGTGCTAGGGGATTGCATTTCCTTGCACCTTTTGGAGACACAGCACAGTGTCGTCAACCTGCAACCGAGGTCAAAGGATATTGGCCACCAGTTGTCTCTAGAAAATCTCTTGTGTCCTAGCCACATCAATGAATCATTTTCTAGTCTTTAGGGAGGACATGTTAACAGAAGTCATGTTGCATCATTTAGTATAATAAGGGGAAAGTTTTACAAAGATTGAACATAATTCATGATTTTTTAAAACTCTGACTTTCAGTGGTGGGGGAAAAGAAGGAGACAACTGTACTTGAACAACAATAAAAAAAAAGAAGAGAAAAAAGAAAAAAAACTCTGACTTTCAGGGTTTTTTTTTTACCAATAAAATCAGCTAATAAGTAAGTACATAAGTAAAGAAATGTAGCTTTCCTCCCATGTAACTGTCATCCCTTTAGAATATTTCTCCCTCTTTTCTCCATTAGTCAAAAGTTATGTATATTTAAAGGACCATTACATGCCTCTATGTCATCACAAGGCCCTCATTTACTCAACAAACACTTTTTGCCAGTGGCCTCTACCCCAGAGCTGTTCTGAGCAGATGAATAAAGTGAGGGCCACAGCTCACACTGTCCGGGCATCTGCATTGCAACGGGGGTGGGAGGGGGGATGACGGAAGTAAATAGCAGGACACAGTAGAGCATGCTGAATTTGGAGCACAATGCAGAAAAGTTATGTGTGCATGTGGCAGTTCTTCAGAAACCACATCATTGAGGAGGGTGCATTTAGCGGGGGTTTTGACAGATGAATAGGAGTTTGCAGAGCTGACAAGAAAGAAGAAACACTCTGGGAAGATCAAACAGCTGCAGCAAAGGCTTGCAAGTTTATTCTTCACACAGTCCTCAGCTGCTCTAAGATTAAGACAAGCTAACTTTCTGTTTAATCTTGTACAAGTTTTTCCTTTGCACTTCTCCATGTTTCGTTTGCCTATTCCAATAAAGAATAAGAAGAATACACAGTCCTTCACAGGGTTGCATTACAGGTTAAAAACCAATATAAGATAGTCAGCATAATGCCTGGTACCTAGTGAATACTTCACAAATAATAGATACAAATATGTTCTCTACCTTCCATGGAGGGTATATGGAACTTTTTCACACACTATGTGTTTTTATTTTAATTATTGAGTTAAAATAATTTCCATTCTTTTCTTTTTTTTTAAATGAAGCTTTTTTTCAAGATTTTATTTATTTATTTTTAGAGAGGGAAGGGAGGGAGAAAGAGAGAGAGAAACATCAATGTGCGGTTGCTGGGGGCCGTGGCCTGCAACCCAGGCATGTGCCCTGACCAGGAATCGAACCTGCGACACTTTGGTTTGCAGCCTGCGCTCAATCCACTGAGCTACACCAGCCAGAATTTCCATTCTTTTCATTGTTGCCAAACTCTGTTTCCCATGCATGTCTTACTCAAGTACCGACGGGAGGGAGATGAGGAGCACTTGTTATGCCCCCGTGGTGCCCGGGAGGATATCTTGGATACGTGTGTGTCGCATGCTGGGGAATCAACCCCAACGCCTGGCGATCCCATGGATGTGCGCCGTCCACGCTGTCCCATCCTCACCAGCCCTTCTCTGCTGCTCCTGTGACTCACGGCTGGGGCTGCCCTTCTGGAGTCAGTCCATCACGCATTTGGTCTTCCCCCTTTCCCACGGCCTTCTAGTTTCCCAGCATTCCTGTCTTTCCCAAAGAACCTGCCTTCTCACAATGTGCATGAAATAAGACAGTAGCTTCCGTTTTGTTCTGGATACATGGTATTGAAGGCCTAATACTCTTAAACATTGTTTATATATAACAAATGCTTCTGTGATGACCTATCCATTTTGCAGGTTGAACAACCAAAAGATAAATTAAAGTTTTTCCACTGTGAATGCCTATCCTGAAAGACACACAGCAAAAATGGGTTTTGCCATTTAAAAGGAGTGCGGCATGGCTGAGAACCTCAGCTGGAGACCGTGAAATAAGATCTGACACAGAGTCGGAAACGTCCTTGGGGCCCAGCTGTCTCCCTGACCACTCGAGACATCTGCACAGGGTCAGTCATCATCATTACGGCCGGCACAGCCTCCTTCCCGAACGGTCACCCTCACTCCTTCTAGCATTTCCCCTGACCAGCACATATTCCCCTCACCTTCGGCAACAAAACATACGTTAGCATTGTGACGACCGCTCCCCGTGATTTTCACAGAGCCGTGTACCAGCAGGAGGAAATGGCACATTCAAAGACAGGATGTCAGAGTCACGTGACAAGTGCCTGGGAAAAGACACCGCATCTACCAGAAGCACGGGTGACACCCACCGAGGAAGAAACGTGATAAGTCTTTCCACTGGGAACACAGGAGCTCACTGGAAAAAGGAAATGTGCTATTTTATCCGTTTCGGAGTACTTAACTGGAAACACACAACTACATGATTAAATAATTTAGTTTTCTAGTAGGGTACATAATAACAAGGAAATAATGACAGTGATGGCTCTTCAGCAGGGTGTAAAGAGAGGTGTGGGCCAAGGAGACTCCCACACTCAAGAACCTCACTCTCCTGGAAACTCACCCAGAATCTCCACCCTCTGACACCATGGTCAGCTCCTGTTGTGGCTCCATCTGCTCTGACCAGGGCTGTGGCCAAAGCTGCTGCCAGGAGACGTGCTGCTGCCCCAGCTGCTGCCAGACCACCTGCTGCAGGACCACCTGCTGCCGCCCCAGCTGCTGTGGCTCCAGCTGCTGCCGCCCCTCCTGCAGCATTTCTAGCTGCTGCTGCCCCAGCTGCTGCATTTCTAGCTGCTGCTGCCCCTTTTGCTGTGGCTCCAGCTGCTGCCGCCCCTGTTGCTGCCCCTCCTGCTGCCTCCGCCCAGCCTGTGGCCAGGTGTGCTGCCACACCAACTGCTACCGCCCCACCTGTGTCATCTCCACCTGCCCCCGCCCCATGTGCTGCGCCTCCTCTTGCTGCTGAGTCTCCTCTGTAACCTATTTACACTAGTCCCCAAAATGTAGACACCTCCTGTGATGACCCTTAGGACACACGAATCTAGGTGGCGTCATTCAGTGGGCTGGGGTTCATGATTCCAAGACACTCGCTGTCTCCCACTAACTCTGTGAGCACATTCGGGTTCATTTCAAGCTCTCTCTTTTGCTACCTTTTCCTTTTGATACTAACCAACTATGTTTAATTTGCAATCCACCCGCCAAGAAACTGTACCGGTCCTCTAAACTTCTCATTCTCCCTGACCACGCTGGGCTCTAGATCATCCTTCCAACCAGGTGGATGTTATCTGCAGCCCCCAAGTGACACTGGTGTGGCGCCCTCAGCCCTGCAGTCCAGTTATACCCTGCATTTTCTCCTTGAGTGAATTTGTTACGTTTTGTTGTTTCTCTGCCCTCTAAACTCTTCTGAGCATAAGAATTCATGGGCATCACTCCCTGTTGTTTCTATGATCATTTTACTCAGTAACTAGGCAGGTATAGAAAGAATAACTGATGTTGAAATCGTTTTGAAAATAAGCACTGTATCAAATATAGATAGTTTAAGATATTAGATCAAAAGTGGCAGGTATGTGCACAGGTATGTGACTCAACATCCTAAATGAGGACAGATTTAATTCATGTCTTTAACTCTTATTTAAACCACATCATACCCCCTTGATACCATTGGCCCCATTTTGCAGAAAAGGGTAAACCCAGTTTGCTCAGTGCATGCCAATGAAAGAAGGAAAATCTCCTGTAAAGAATTTACATGTACTTAATTCCTTTCATCAAAAATTTTTTTTTCAGAATTTATAACCACAAAGTGGGTTAAACATTATTTGTCATTGAGTTTTGCCAAGGAGAAATGCATATTTCATTGTATTTTTTAAAAATCCCCTTTATTGAGCTTTGATTGCAAAAAGCTATATATATTTAATGAATACAACTCACTGAGTTATACTTCCTCACATTTTTAAGGGAATATGCTTCATATGGATGGTGTGGTATGTTTCTGAGTGTGGTCTCTCAGGGTTTTCCTCATAATTCAAGCATCTCCTCAATTAATATCCCAATACATATTGACCCTGAGAGAATGGAATTTCTTTTTAAGGATTTTTTTAATGGGAATTAATTTGTAATTTTACGTAGTTCTGGGCTGAGGCTCACAATGACTTTGTGAACACAACGGTATGGAAGTGAGAATTCTACGTACAAGATTGAAACCTACTCAGCAAGGAGGCAGTGCCAAGATTTGCTAACCCCTCACCTGGAATTTGAAATTCCAGCAGCTATAGATATTATCAGAAACTGTTTTCCAAAATAATGTTCTATCCCTGTCTATAAAAATATTCAAGCTAAAAATCTTCAAGGGCAAGCACTATTACAGCATCACACACTCTGAACCATTTAAATATTTTCTCTGCTGGCCACTGCCATGAAATGAGCGTAACTGGGGGGAGTTCCTGTGAAGGGGACACCCCACCACCATCTCCGCAAGGGCGACTGCTCATGTGGAGAAAGAAATTGAATCTACAAAGACTGCCTCAGTTGTCTGTTGCTGTGTAACAACTACACCCAAACTTAATAGCTCAAAACACTAATGATTTGTGATTTCTCACAATTCTGTGCATTGACTGGGCATCCTTTTGATTTTTGTCTGGTCCCACTCATACTCCTGCGTTCATTTCAAAGTTCAGCTGGGGCTGAAGGGTCCAAGATGGCTTCACTTATGTCTGGTAGTCGGTGCTGCCTGTCTCCTGGGGTGCCTTGGTTCTTCTCTACCCGGCCTCTCCTTCTCTGGTAGGCTCTGCTGGGCCTCTTTGTACAATTGTAGAAATGTTCCAAGAGAGAAAAGGTAGAGATTCAAGGCTTCTTGAGGCTGAGAGTGTAGCACTCACACAACTCATCCACCATGTTCTACTGGTCAAAATAAGTCCTAAGCCCAAACCAGACACTAAGAGTAGAGAAATAGAATCTAAGTCTCAGTGGGAAGAGCTACAAGACACTGCTGGCCAGCGAGGGGCTATGGCAGAATGGGGAAGTTCTGCTAAGCCAACATCAACCTCCGTATGTAAGCGGTCAGAGGGAGATTTCGTATTAGTTTAGTATCTGTGTTGATGAAGTCCACCATTAATTTTTCCCAAGAGAAGATTTCTCCTGTTTATTAGTCAGTCAGTAAGTGGTACTTATAGCAGGCAATGAGATAGTATCTCTAATGAAATATTTGATGAAATCAATAGCCATCTTCATAAAATTGGCATTTTTCTTTTGAACATCTGATAAAATATAAACGAATTGAGACTGCAGCATGAGTTTCTTACAGAGAAATCGGGCAGTTTTTATTTAATCAAGGACATTTCTTGGTTGACAAGGATGAGGAGGAAAAGTAACCCCATAAATGGAGACCCAGTGAACACAATCTAATTTGACTGTCTAGAAGTCTTTACTCAAACCTCACAACAAAGATTATTAAAGTAACTGATGTACTTCTCTGGAAGATTAGATCATTCTTTGTTAATATTTACCCTTCCCCCCTCCAACCCGCTGGAAGAAGCACCCCCTCTCGCTCTTCCACCCTGTGGTGTGAACTTCACCATGTGACTTGCTTTGGCCAATGGGATGTTAGAGGGCGTGACCCGAGCCAAGGCCTGGACTGTGTTAGCGCGGCTGGGATTGCTCCCGTGTGCTTGTGCTGTCAGTGGTAGGGTTGTCATCCAAAATGCAGGGCTCAGCTCACGGAACTGGAATTTCAGATGAACAATGAATACATTTTTATGTAAGTACGCCCCAGTGCACACTCAAATGTACTAAAAAAATTGTTGTTGTTCATCTGAAATCAAAACTTAACGGAGTTACCTGTATTTTTATTTGCTAAATCTGGCAACTCTAATTCAGCAGAAAGCTCCAAACCAATCCACATACAGAAGGCAAGCCCAGCCTTAAACAGCCCAAACCCAATGACCTGCAGGCACCTGACCAAGAAATAAATACTTGTGGCTGTACATTATGAGAGTTTATGGTTGCTTGTTATGCAGCAATAGCTGACTAGTTCAACTGTGGTGCCAATGAGAAACAGCTTAATACATCTATCAGTATGAAAAGATGAAGCAGACAGTTTTCTCTAAAAAAAATAAAAACAAAGGGGTGGCCCCATGTTTGTGGCAGGGTTGGTTTTATTTTAATTAAGTTTCTGAAGGACATAGGTTAATAAACCTCTGGGTTTATAGATAAATCAAGCTTTTATAAATAACACAGAATAAAGTCCTATCATGTTAAATTGAAGGACAACCCCATTCGTTTTTGTAGGCGTGTTTGTTAAAACACAGGCTTAAAGGTCGGACTTGCTTAGATTGAATCCAGGCCTTGTTACTTGTGAGCTGTGCAGCCTTGGGCAAACTAGCTAACCTCGTGAAGCTGCAGCTTCTTCATCCACACAGTGAGGATAAAAAATACCTAACTCAATTGATTGTTACAATGATTAATAAGATAGCTAAACATACCTATCACAGTCCCTGGAACATACCAAAATACTCCCTAAATCATAACTTAAAGTTCTTACATAGGTGGGAAGAAAAGTGGGAGGTGATATACAACATCAGCAAACAAGACAGTACAGGGTTCTAACCCGTTCTTAGAGGAAAATGGGTATGAGCTTCCAGTAGGGGCCTAGTGAGAAAAGAAAAGAAAATTCCTCATCAAACTATGATATCAGATATTAGTTCAAAGGGCTGTTGAGGCCAAAGATGTCCATAGAATATTGGTCATAAATAAAAAGGCTAGGAGTAAAGAATCATTTAGTCTACACAGGAAAAAATCAATTAACGTTGTAAGCAAAGAGAAAGTCTTAACGTGAGGAATACAGAGGGTGAATTTGGTATAATTCACATCTGTGATATCTTCCACGGTATCCTTGAAGCAAGACAGAGTGAATTCCTCCACGACAACAACCAAAAGCTTCCCCTGTGAAGAGGAGGGGATGGTTTTAGGACAAATGACTATTAAAAAGCATTTGGTGGTTTGCAAGCTCTTGGCCTTCCTTTCTTTTCATTGGGTTCATAGGAAGGAAGTGGGATTGACTGGGCAGGCTTCTTTATTTTATTCAAATCCAAAGGAAAGTGTTCTGTATCACTAGTAAGAAGTAAATTTATGGGACTCATCATGAAGGTAAGATACAGGGTGAAGGTACAAATAAATAACCACAGGTGGAATTAGGTAAGTGCATGCCTCTCTCACAGTGCCCTGGTGAGTCCCCAAGGGCAGCCAGACCACCCTGTGAGACCAACACCCCCCGCCACCCCGTGCTCGGCTCTGCAGACCCTCAGAGAGGAACCCCTGTGCCCGCGCTCAGGTCCGACCCCGCACGCAAGCCCCGCCCCTTTCAGATGACCTGTCACGGGGTGAAACACAGAGTCGCTTACTGAGGAACGAGGAGACCTGGACCCCAGACCTCACTGTGTGACCGTGGGGAGCACACGTGACCCTCCTGGAAAATGAAGGACAGGCCTACATACCCTCCACAGCAGCGGTCCCCAACGTTTTTGGCACCAGGAACCGGTTTCGTGGAAGACAAGTTTTCCGTGGACTAGGTGGGGCGGGGGGCTGGCTTCAGGAGGATTCAAGCACGGTACACTCGAGCTCACCTCCTGCTGTGCGGCCCAATTCCTAACCAGTCCGCGGCCGGGATGTCGGGGACCCCTGCTCTATAGTCCCTGGATTCCACACATGGGGCGACTGATCCCAAATGAATTACAAAGACAGAAATTGCAAGCGATCTGTGCAACCAAGGTAGATGTTGAGTGTGGCTGGGAATGAAGAGGGTGTTCAGGTGAATGTGGAGGCATTATAATTGAGGCAGGACAGTGCAGACCCTAATGCAGGGGGACCCCACCAGGGCGGCAGGGATCCAGGGTGCCATGGGGTCCCTCCTCACGAGGAAACGCAGGAACCTGCCTTAGAGAGGAGAGCGGAGGGAGAGGTCTTCCAAGCAGAAGACTGTTGGTGTGCACTGAGCGCCGCCACTCACCTGCCCCTGCCTGTCACGTGCCCGGGTGTGACGGAGGCGAGGCGCTGCTTGGTGCTCATAACTACAGCCTTTGAAGTCCATGAGCAATACACTAACTTCAGGGCCACGGGGCGGAGTGACTAGAGCCCACAAGGAAAACACATTCCTTTCTCTTTTATGAGTTAGAAATATTTAAAGGGAAAGTCATCAGAATCCAATCCAACATCTAGATTCGGTGAGAATAAACAATACAAAAAAAAGGAAAAACATTTGTGGTGTGTGTGCATGTATATGTATGAGGCGAGGGGCTACCCAAAACACCATTAGTCAATGCTAAATCCGTACTTAATTGGCCAGGAAATTAACAAGGAAGTGACCCTGTGCTCTGGGGGTCACCAGCACCTGGCCAGGGTATATAAGGAACCCCCATGGGAGGAAGGCATTCACACCTGAGAACACCCAGCTCCTCTCACCAGCCCACCCAGCCCAGACCCAGACGCCACCATGACCGGCTCCTGCTGCGGCTCCACCTGCTCCTCAGTCTGTGGGGGAGGCTGCTGCCAGCCCTGCTGCCAGCCCTGCTGCCAGCCCTGCTGCTGCCGTGACCCCTGCTGCTGCCGCCCCTGCTGCTGCCAGACCACAGTGTGCCGCCCTGTGACCTGTGTGCCCCACTGCACACGCCCCATCTGTGAGCCCTGCCGCCGCCCCATCTGCTGTGACCCCTGTGGGCTGCAGGAGGGCTGCTGCCGCCCCATCGCCTGCTGCCCCACGTCCTGCACGGCCGTGGTCTGCCGGCCCTGCTGCTGGGCCTCCACCTGCTGCCAGCCCATCTGTGTGCAGGCGCCCTGCTGCCGGCCCCCCTGCTGCCAGCCTGCCCCCTGCCGCAGCACCTGCAGGACCTCCCCCTGCTGCTGCTGCTGAGACCCAGGGTCCCCACAGATGCATACACTGGAGCCCAAGCACCTGTTCTGCGTTTTAATCAAGTTGAAAGAAAAATGCATTTCTTTCCCATAAAGTGACAACAGTCATTTTTTTTCATCCTATTATTTGGATACACAAGCTCCATCTCCACCTTGAGCCAGATTCCCAGGTGTTCCCATTAGAGAACTTACCATGAAGGGCACCTCTAAGCCCACCTCTAAAAGTCCCTGGGGGGAACCTGGCAAACCCACCCCAAACTCTGGAGGCTGCTCAAGCCTCCCCATCATCGTTTATAATGTCCTGCTCACTTGTTTTCAATAAACTAATTCTTCCTGTAAACCTTCCTGCTACCTGATTCATGTTTTAGTGCAGGTGTATGAGTGTGCACTGATGAGCAGGCAAAGAACAGGAAAGAGAATGAAGAGGAAGAAGGAGAAAGACAGAGAGGACGAAGAAGACAGAAGAGGGAAGGCAAAAACGGTGCGAGGGCTCCTGGAATGAGTCTTGAACGGTGGCGGCGCGGCACGGCCAGGCGAGTCGTCGGGCTGCTCACGTGGGCAAATCCACACACACCAGGCCCTCCACAGACCTCGGATCACGTCTTTACCCTCTGCACTAAGTTTCACTTCCAGCGACACTAAATTCTCACAGTAGCTGACACATGCCATACAGTGCCATTTGTCTTTGCTTTTGTCATGTTCTTTCATTTTTCTAGAATATCCTTTCAGCTTCCCCTTCCCTCCACCTCGTCACCTACCTCTGAGTCATTTCCAAGTTCAACTCAGTCTTCTCCAGGAGTGCTGTCCTAACCCCTCACCCCCCACCACACGCACGCACGCACGCACAAGCTTGGTTAGGGGCGCTAACATATGCCAATAGCATCCTGCAATCCTGTGCTTATCCCCCCGCCCATGAGGCATCGTACTGAGATGATCTATTTCTCTTCCTCCAACAATGAACAAGTTCATTCATGCTGGCTCCCAGCACTGAGCTCAGTGTTCAGAACAGAGCTGGTAATTAATTTCTATTTGTTGACTCAAACTGCATTAGAAGGGAATTGTCTTTAGGACAAGAATTCTAACAGGTAGATATTTACCTAAAGCAAAAACTTCAACATCCAGTACAACTGAACTTCTCTCGCCCTTAGGTTTTCTCATCTGCAAAATAGGAAAACTAATACTCACCCACGCAGATTGCTGGGAACGTGAAACGACTTTATGTACGTAGAATGCCTGGCACCTAGGAAGCACCCAGCACCGTTCATTTCTATTCCTTGTTGCACATCTGAGCATTGCTGTGTCACACGGGCTCAAAAGATGTGCTACTCACTACAGACCATGTCCCTGAGAGTGGGAAAGGGTTCAGGGGAGCCCCCTCTTTGTTTTTTTAGGATAGTTCACATCCACTGGCAGAAACAAATTTTCTTCTTTTTTCTTTTTTTTAAGATTTTATTTATTTATTTTTAGAGAGAAAGAGAGAGAGAGAAACATCAATGTGCAGTTGCTGGGGGTCATGGCCTGCAACCCAGGCATGTACCCTGACTGGGAATCGAACCTGTGACACTTTGGTTCACAACCAGCGCTCAATCCACTGAGCTATACCAGCCAGGGCTGAATTTTCTAATAGATATAATAAAGAAGGTAAAAAACTCCATCATCAGATTGAGGCTGTCTTGTAAGGAAAGGGCTCTTTAAAAGCTGATCTACAAGTCCCCAGGAAAGAGCCTGAGATTACAGGGCTTGTGAAAGGGGTTTAGCACTAGGAACAAAGGAGAGCTGGGGACACGTGTGCAGCCGACAGGTGTTCCCTCCCATCCTGAACCACCCGAAGGAGTTAAACAGCTCTCAGCTGTAAGAGACTTCAAAGGATGACCTGGCTTAGCCTCACCTGGCTTTAGGCAGATGAATATCGAAGCTACTTAGAAGAGATGTTTCCTTTTTAAATCCCAGAAATAAATCCCACTGGTTCCCTGATTATCCAGAGTTTTCTGGGTTTTTTCCCAACTAAAATATTTTCCCTTCTCAATTAATGACAGCCATCTCTTCCGTCTTCCACGTGCGTATGGATTTTCTCATACATGTGGCCCACGAAGGTTCTCACCATTTCACAGACGAGGGCGCTGGGGCCGGCAGAGTGCAGCCCTTGCTGAGCGGTGGAGGGAGGATCTGGACCCTTCTTGGTCTTTCCCTCCCTCCTCCCACCCATTCCCGTGCATCGTCCCGTCCCCATTTCTGCCAACTCTTAGGATTGGAGGATATTTTAAAGATCATTTTGGAGACTAGGGAATGCATATTCTGTTTGCAGGATTTTGAAAATTTCCTAACATGCAGTGGCCCCCAGACTGGCTCCTAACAAAAATAAATAAATAAATAAATAAATAAATAAATAAATAAATCGTGTGCAGCTGTTAGGACGAGGGCATGGTCCGCCAGCACACAGGCATTCACGCTACAGTCTTTCTCAATGCAACCACAATAATCCTACAATTTGTCACCAGCGTGGTTAGCATTCACTTGCTCCCGTTCTGGTAGCTGTGCTCTTGCAGAACCTGTACTTTGAACGATGTGACACAAAAAGCCCCCGCGACGAGGACCAGGGACACATCTGTTGTCCCACAAGCTGAGGTCCATCAACGTGCTGCAGCAACGGAAACCCCGTTGGCGTGGAGCCACCCCAAAGGGGAAAGGTTTCTGCTGGGTTTTGAGAAATAGTGGACTGAGGTGAAATCACATACAATGGTGTTTTGATGGATTCAAAGCAAACCAGAGCTCCGTGCAAAAGAATTAACATCGGGACTGGCCTGTGAAAAGCACTGAGGGCCCCCTTTCTTGGGAAACGAAAGAGCTGGGATGAAGGCAGAAGTCACGTCCGAAAATCTCTTACCTGAAACTCTGCCTCTGGGTTGGCTGTTGCGGCTATGTCTCTGTGTCAGGGTGACGATGATCCTGGCCCGGCCACGGCGGGTGGGATGCCCCCTTCTTACTGTGGGGGCTCCAGACAGCAACGTTTCTGACGGTCCGTAATTTGAAAACACAGGATATCTTAGTACTACATCTTTTTGTTAGTTAAAAGTGCATGAAATAACAGATATATTCCTACTCCTGGTATTTGGGTCTCTGCACCTATTCTAAGCCAAATAACAATATGCAAAACCACGGATTGAGCAAGTTCTGAATTTATCTCACCAGATGGGACAGAATTTGTGATAACGGCTCCCACACGTTCACCGCTTTGGAAGGGCCCAGAATTGAGAAAAGACTAGGACTCAACCAGCGATCAGTGTTTATACCCCACGGAAGGCCAGGGGTGCGTTAAACCGCTGACACTCCTTCATATGTGTAGCTCAGAAGTCATTTCACAAATCTGGCCTTCCGAAAACCGTGACAGGCAAAGCGGTTCACAGAGCCCAAGGACTTCAAGGACCAGGACTCTGGTGGACCAAAGAGTGTATTAAAAAAAATGATCCCACCAAACAAAACATACTTTGGAGATAAATTTGGTCTGACAGCCGTCAGTGACCCTTGGACGAGGTCCTCTTCAGCCAGCCTTTCAACTGTGAATTTACTTTCCATACCTCCATTTTTCCAGCCGGGGCTAAGAAAGACAAAGCCATGTTGTCATCATCGGTTCACTAATCCCCCTGCCTTTTTCGGAAGCGCAACTTCACCCTTCACAAGCAACCAGAACAACAAACCTAAGCATCTACTCCAGAAATGTAATTAACTCCTTTACGAATATTTTCAACATACTTTGAAGAACTCAATACAAGTGCTTATGGCACACCTAAAAAGCAAGAAACACCTCCGTTCAAATTTTATTTCTAAGCCCGTACACAGGGAGGATCATTCAAACAGGGACAACTGTATCGGTAAAAGCCACATGTAGTGTGGCCTTATCGTCCCCTGAAAATTTCTTCTCCTTCCATTGCTTTATCTGCCTTTGTCCTGACTTCCTAAATTTGTAATTATGGGGTGATCAGAAACTACTTAAAATTTATTTTTCTTTCTTTTCCCTCTCCGTCCCCAATAGCACGCCACTGTTTACATAGTAAGTGTCTTATCACTCATCGTGAGCAACGGGCCAACTCTCATGGCCTGTAACAACGTCACGTGGGAGGTTGGGGTGGTTATTTCCATCTAAACAAGGGGAAGCAAATATGCTGTTTCACAGAAACGCTGCACCATTCTTTCCCTAGCAGGATCGGTGCACAGCTTTCACGAGCCATTCTAGTCTGGTTGGGTTTGGTCTTGTTTTAGAAATTCTTGCTGCATCACAAGAAGTCAGGCCTGTGGACATTATGGTCTCACGCTTAATGATGGGCGGTGAAAAGCGGGGAAGGCGCGAGAGAGGCAATACTGGATTTTTCAAACTGTCAACTGGTCACATGGTCTGGAAAAACCGGCTCTTCGATGAGTAATTCCTCAGAAGATATAAATCATCAGGTATTCATTTCGAGGGAAAAATGGGAAGAAAGGAAAGCATCCTTCAGTGACCTTGGAATGGCTGCCTCAGCAACTGAATCCACCAATCCTGAGTTCTCATGTCAATGGGCAACCACAACTTTAGGAAGTGACCCTGTGCTCTGGGGGTCACCAGCACCTGGCCAGGGTATATAAGGAACCCCCACGGGAGGAAGGCATTCACACCTGAGAACACCCAGCTCCTCTCACCAGCCCACCCAGCCCAGACCCAGACGCCACCATGACCGGCTCCTGCTGTGGCTCCACCTGCTCCTCAGTGTGTGGGGGAGGCTGCTGCCAGCCCTGCTGCCAGCCCTGCTGCTGCCGTGACCCCTGCTGCTGCCGCCCCTGCAGCTGCCAGACCACAGTGTGCCGCCCCGTGACCTGTGTGCCCCACTGCACACGCCCCATCTGTGAGCCCTGCCGCCGCCCCCATCTGCTGTGACCCCTGTGGGCTGCAGGAGGGCTGCTGCCGCCCCATCGCCTGCTGCCCCATGTCCTGCACGGCCGTGGTCTGCCGGCCCTGCTGCTGGGCCTCCA